ATGCCGTTGCAATTTAACCTTTTCATTTTTTGTGCCCTGCAAATGGGACATAGGACCTTTAAACTGAAATGCTGAGAAAGTTTAACGACTGATAATGTATTTCAAAGCAGTATACCCCCCATTCTCCAACATGCCCCTATCAGTCAGCACATTTCAAACATGACAAACTTGAATCAAAGCAACAGTTTGAATCGAGGCTCACGTACCGCTCTTGTGCAGCTTACATGTTTCTCGAGGGACAAACTTGAAGCCGTTTCCTGGTAAACAACTTTATAAACAACTTTAAATCGACTACAAAATACTTCTTAATATCAAGATCCTCATATTATATTTCCTGAAAAAATGAACATGGTAGCTGCGTATCAATTTTAGTGAGCATCGCAAGGGGTATTGTCCGCGTCTTTTAGATCCTCTGCATAATTAGTTTAGAAATAACATCATTTTAAATACACAAAAAACGGTACTTAGTATATGAAGTTGTTTGAAACAATGTCAATATGTAGATGTACATGTCATTAATGTGTAGATGATAAGCTTTTGATGTTTTTTCGGTCTCTTTTTTTTCTATGTCGGTAATTTGAAAATCTGAAAACTTACCTGTACAACTCCTCTTAAATTGTCGAAAGTCTAGGAGAACAGCGCCTTGTAACCTTTGGAAAAGGCGCTATATAAATCCAATTATTATTATTATTATTATTATTATTTCTATCAACTTTCATATTTAATACAGTATTGGTAGTACTGACATCTGATTTTATAGACAATGCTGTTGATTGACATGTGAAACCAAAAAACCTCGACAGAGGAAAAAAGAGAGAAACGAAAAAGAAAAGAAAACCTCTCCAATATGTCATGATATTTATTAGGTCTTCAAACTAGAACGGAGTGGGTACCGTACATTATGTTTGAATGTTATTTGAGGAGTCATGTGATGGATCAACTCTTTTTTGGAATTGAAATCAACACTGAAAAAGGGTGGAAAAGGGTATCTCCAACCAACCAATGTTTTGGAAAGGATTTCACTATAACTTGGAGTTGATTTACCTAGAAAACAAAGTGATTCCCTATAAAGATAACTCCTAAAAAAAGAGTGTAATAGCACTTCTCCTCATTAAAAGAGTTCGATTATATAATGATAGCGGTGTCGTGGTCTGGGAATCACATGGTTTGCAGTTCAAGTCCAGCTGTGGCAGTAATGGTAAACATTAATCTTCATTTGCCACTCTCCACCCAGTTGAAGTAAATGGATACAGGATTATTCGGAAGACATTCCTTGAAATGCTTGAATACCAATGCCATGGAAATAGATTCAGAACATGTCTATCAAGCAAGCACAGTACCAATAATTTGTCCATGTATATAGCGCAGCTACAATATGAATATATTTTACTTCGCTTAAAGCCCCACTGTCCTACTTGTAGCTACTTGCTCCCACTATATAGAAAACATCCCCAATCGGTGCCTGTTGGTCCCCCATGATCCTCTTTTTATTATGTTAGTTGATAGCTGAGTTATTGAGATAGCCACCTGTCAGTGACCTCGCTGTGTGGTATAATCCCTTCTGGCCCAGTAGTAGTGACGGTCTTTAATAACAAGTTAGACATTGTTACCCCCGGCTGCAGCTAAGCTGCCATGAAAAAGCGCTAAAGTATTCAAGGAACTAAATCCTACCAAGTATCCATGTACTTCATCTGGGTGGAGAGTGGCACACGTAGGTTAATGTCTTGCCAAAGGACAGTGCCGGGAACTCGAACCGCAAACCATGTGATCTTCATGCCGGTGACGTACCCACTAGACCACGACACTTCTACAATATCCCTGGTTTTCCAAAGTAAATTCTTTATAATTTTTATTGTTGATTAACAACAGTAACGTAAAACTGGAAGAAACGATTGTGCGATGTGAATAAAGAGTGATTGGTAGTCGGAGGAAACTTGTAATGAAGGAAGGCGAATACTTCCTAAAAGAAAAATTTGTTAGCTTAAAGATGAAGTTGAGTTCTGGTCATGCGATTGCATTGTGAAAGAAACGGTGTGGAATCGACCAGAAAAGGTTGATCATCGAGCATATAAGAATTTGTGTGTATTGCAAGGTTCTTGAATCAGAAATTTGGCCAAGTCTTGGTAAAGTTTCAAACACTTGCACAGAAAGATGTATAATATACACAAACACGTGGCGTAAAAAGCCGGCCCCCCGATTTTTACGATGTCACATGCATATTTAGAATATAAAGGCATTTGAAGAGCCATGCTTTTCAGGGAACATGTCTTAACTGATGTTCTTCCACACTTGCATAATAAGAATGGGTAATGCTCACAAATTATTTTTCACCTTTTCCCAGAACTCAACCTTCTCTTTAATGTTTATGGAGTTTCACTGTTTCATCAGAAATTCGTATAGCGATTTTGAGGACTTATTGCAAATTGAGTCACTTCAGTCTAAACCATGGAAAATGCTTAATACTTCTCCTTTAAATTATTCCCACTTCCTTTCTTTCTTTAAATTCTTTTTCATATCCAATAATTACAATGTTGTCTCACTCCTATACCAAATAAATTCCACCTCTGCTTGTACCAACAACAACAACAACAAAGAATCGATTGTCATTGTTTTAGTTTCCTATAGGATTCTTTTTAGCTGTTCATTTCAGATGATCGAGATAGAAAAGAAATCATGAAAGTCGTTATGTCCTCTCCTGTAAAAATTGATAAGAGAATGAAGTTTGAAATCAAATTATAAAAGAAAGGATGCCAAGACAAATAGGTAGTTTTATCACCGAAGCCATATATTATGTTACCGGGTTTCATATCATTTGGCAGAGATAGTGTATTATCAATAAGCCACGATCGGTTATTCTGTATGTTATCATTAGGAGTTACATGATACAGCAGAATTGCGGACACAATATTGGCCTACTGTCTCATAATGATGATTTCGTCAATATAGAATTTTACAATGATTATCTTGCCTCGGATATGGTAAACAGCGCTTGAATGTGCAATATTCCGGCCAGAAAACCTATTCAAAATGTCACTTACCGAAACCCTGATAATCTAATCATGTCATGAACGTGTGTTTAAATCCCTCCGTTGACCTCGTTATCTATCTTGACTTTAGGCCATATTAGTTACGTTTATTCATGCACAATGGTGCAAGTCACGGCTATCATTGAAACATGATTTGCACCCCTCCCTGATCCCACTCAAAGCATCAAATACATTTGTTATAACATCTACGATCTTGTGGTGCTTTCTTTTTTTATGTTCTCGCTCCTTCTCTCTCTCTCTCTCTCTCTCTCTCCTTTTCACCCCTCATTCTTTCTTCTTCTTCTCCTCCACCTCTTCCTCCTCCTTCTTTTTCTCCTCCCTCGATCCTCTCCTCCTCCTCCTTCTTCTCTCATTTTCCTTTTGTTACCACTCTTTAGTCTATCCTGACAACATATCAATGTATCCCCAATCCCAAACCCAGAGTTTCTCTAGTCATACACGAGTATAGTAATGTTGTCTCCGAATCTAGAATAGAAAATGTAGTTCGTTTACTCCCATGCTGCGATTATAACTAGATTCAATTTCTCGTTCTCTATTGGAAGAACTTGAATAATTCTGTCATATTGCAGGAAGGATTATAGTGATGTAAATGTATATCGTTTACAATTTGCCAAATCATCAGAATATTGCCAGACCTGGTGTTCCTGGAAGTGCTATGCAAACACATAATGTGCCGCATGTTAATTCTCCTGTTGCCTTGGTTACGTCAAACTAGAAAACTTAATTGAGGTAAATATCCATCTCTAAAGGAAGCTCGGAGGGGAAACGTTATCCGCTTTTTGTATTTATAAGTGTAGTGACCAGACATTTATTATGTTGTTATATAACCGATGTCTGATGTTCTTCTATGTAGTCTAACAAAAAATACATTGCTGAGTTTATGTGTGCGGTTTTTTTTTTTTTTTGGGGGGGGGGGGGCGAAAGGGGGGCGGGGAAGGGGTGTTGGTGCTTTAGGATGCCTCGGACATTTGATTTGAAATGGACATGATATCTTACAAAGCTCATATATCATTATAATTATTACAATTAGTATTACTATCATCATTATTATTCAATGTAGACTTGAACATTTCATTCATTTAGTCTTGTTGCTGTGGTTGTCTTTTCTGATACCACGGTAGGACATGAAATTGGATTTAAAAATATATGCTGATGTTTATACGAAGTTTCTATTTCATCAAATAAAAACCAATCTGATCTACTAATCACAATTCATGCCTCTCCTATTTTGACATGTTCGAGAAGATTTTTATGAGTACAGATAAGATGTGATACGATGAGAAAAAAAGTATTATACATGTGAACTCCGGGCCAACAATATGCGGATTTAAATTTAATAAAAAACAGAAAGTGAAAGAAATCCAGGAAAACATATTTAAAGGAAAATTTGGACAAGTTAATAGTATTTGATAGTGACAATAAATAAATTGTACGCCTAGTAAGACTGGAGATAAGGATACCACGTGAAATACTTTGATTTTGACTGTTACTTCATCCTTTTTCGCTGTCATGAATTATGGTTTTAGGAATTGGACACAAATTATTGACAGTTATTGGTCACCCACAAAAGTTGAACAAGCGAATGCATTTTTCCTCGAAATGTTCAACTTAAGGGAGGAAGCTAAAGGCATGGTATCAATTAGACAAAAGGAAGTAAGAGAGTGCCTTGTCTACCCTCAATACAACTATAAAAAAATTACTGGCGTATCCAGCGTACGATGGAGCCGGGGAACCCCCCCCCCTCCCCCTCCCTGTAAAGGCCAAGCTTTAAAACAAAACAATGCCCAAACAAAAACAACAATCATGCGAAGGGTCTCTCCGTCAAACGAATCCGCCAAAATTATTAGTCTCCAACGCAAAAGGGAATTCCGCCCCTAGCCCCATCCCATTTTCGATGTCTGGATACGCCACTTTATAAACAAAAAAAAGGTTGCAAATGTGGAGAAGACTTACCTGGTATCGACCGGTTATCAGCTGGCTCCGTGTAGGCGTACACACTGGCTGTACATAATAATTCTCTAGCCTTACTCCACTGTATGCCATCTCGTCAATATTAGGTGTTCTTATCATAGATCTGCCATATTTTGCATGATATCCAACATCGTTATAACCCAGGTCATCCGCAATTATCATAATAACGTGTGGTGGTTGTTTCTTTTTCTCCGCTTTGGGCTCGCTTTTCTTCTTCTTCTTTCCATTCTTGTAAATTTCGGGGTATATATTTCCAGCGCTCAAGCTTATGGTTGAAGTTTTCCTCGAGGCTGGTCTTTCTTGAGTCCTTCTCCCATTAGTCCTACTCCTAGGGCTGGACCTAGCCCTGGCCCTGGCTCTGTTGGCAAAGACCGCGTACTGGTCCAGGAACATTAGAAGAAGAAACAAAACAACGGAGAGTGACTGAATACAACGCCTGAGTTGGATCCTCATTTTTGGAAGTTCGTGCCAACTAAATCCTATAATAACCTCAGTCAGCAAATCGCCGGCTCAACAGGACCGGGTAATGAACTTGAGTTGTAAATAAGAAGTTATAAAAAAAATACTTCGGAGAACCGGCAGGAGAAACTGAAAGTATGTATCTGTAGTCTGATAACGGGTCGCCTATAGAACTCTAAGTCGACAGGAATATCGCGTTAATGTATCGCTGGTTCTAAGAGTAATGCAATCTGAAAGATGTCTTGCTGTGAGCGTTGAAAGCCGTGTCATCAAATTGATCCACATTCAGGTATTCTGAGACAGTGTCGAGCTAGACTGAACTTTTTGACATCATAATAAAGATCAACCCCCTCGGCTAGCCGACCTCGCCCACGATACTAGGCACAGCACGCCCGCTGCCTCTCCTCTCTCTACCGTCTACCAGCTCCTCTGCCCTCCCCTCTCAACTGCATCTCTCGATGAATGCGTCCCGCTTCAAACCGCTCCTACATCCATTCTCAGTTCAATTACTGCTCGCTAGAAGTCTCAACACACCTGTAAATGATAGACAAGTTTAAGATTCGATAAAAAACGCGGAGTCTTTCGTTTCGATGTCTTCATCATATCATGAAACATTCAACCTCGTCACTAGCAGACGATCATAAAAAAATTATGATATCCGATGCTTGAATATACGAGCACATATTTAACAAGCATAGGATGCTTCCGCGGTTTTTTGTTCCGCGCGCTTTTCTAAACTTCAGCACTTTGTCGTCTGCTTGGGACAAATCTGTGAACATATCAATGTGACTCGATTACATGTCTACGAATTCGAACACTGGCCTGGTTTTTCAGCGGTAAGCAACTACAGCTGTTTACATGTCTCTCTAACTAGCATCCAAGGCTTTTACTGTTTGATACAAAGAACTCCAAGCAATGGTAGTTGCATCTTTGATCCCATATTTAAGGAAGGACATACCTAGATATAGATATCAAGAGGTTAATCATATGAGTGAAGGAGACAGAGGGGTGTTGGCACGTACCGCTCTTATGAGTGCACTTTTCAGCCAGAAAGTACAGCGAGGGGGCGCGCTCCCTCTGTTTAAAAATTCTCATCATTCACATTTTGTTACTGTTGTAGCACTGATATGTGTATTGATTAGTCTTAAAATATAAGAAAAAACATATTTGGCAGATTTAAGAAAAATGATGAGTATTTCGTAAGAGGAAAATAATGTTTAGATTTATTTTGATTTAGAATGGTATTAAAACAATTAAAAAGTCATTCGTAAAATTACATATTTCTTGAAATTTAAATTTGCAGTAACGGTGGAAAATGAAGAATTTCGGATTAGCAAACAATTTTGATCCCATTTACGTTCAGAACGTAACATTTTAGTTCGATATAATCTAAAGCATTGTGAACAAGCTCACTAGAATTCTGGCACACGGCAAGGTGAACATTATTTTCTGAAACAGTATACAGCGGGCGCTATTTGGTTGCTTTGAAGGAAGTATTTGCGGAAGTTGTTGATATCAATAGCTCACAGATGACGAGTGAATGAACGGGGCTCTTTCTCTCAGGGGTTTCAATTCAAGGGATACATTAAGACTAGGGTTCTAGAAAGGGTTTCACCTCATGAATTAATGTGCATACACTTTAGTTTCAGAGATGGGATTAGTGTCTCTAAACTCTTTCCTAGTATTTTATTTTGTATGAGGGAGGGGAATGGATGACCTACATCAAGTGAAATTTCTTTTCACCGAATCGAGAAAGGATATGTATAGTTTATCCATTCACTAGAGTTGTGAATGTTAACAACGGTGTTATTTAATTTCAATGCGCGCTGCCATTTGACATGCATTTTGATTTCATAACCACAAAACGTCTTTTTGTCAAGAAACTTGAGGTGTCATAGGAAAAGGCAAAAAATGAATGCGATTTTCTCTTTGAAATTCAAAAGATACCGTCCGCCAAATGACTTTTTGGTACCCTATCTTCGAATTGTTTTTAATCACTCTGGCGTGAAACATGCAATCATATGAGTTGCATTAAATGAAAGAAAAGGATCTAAGCTTTACCAATATGTGTCATTTATTAATTATAATAGTGATTAAATTATGATAAAATTCTCGGTTTCGTTTTTTTCTGGGACGCACTGTATATATACCGACTCTAAACCGACCGATTTGTGTTTGCCAGTGGTGCTAATATAATGTCTTGCCCGGTCTGCTGTTGGTCTGGTGTCGGTCTTGATGGTGTGACTAAGGTATTACATGTAAGATGCATACGGTTTGTATTTGTAATTTTTTTTTTAAAGTAAAGAGGTAGGAGCAATGAAAGCTGACCCCCCCCCCCGTCCCATTTGCCATACTACCTCTTAATATTAATTTCATGGCAATGTTTTTCTCAACTGTTTCCTAACCAAAAACATTGTCTGTGGATAATTAACCACTCAAAATAATTGAATTTCTTGTTTCTTTCATCAATAAAAATAATAAAAACAGGAGTCGCAGGTCTCCTACATTAATCCCTGCAGCCTGTACAAACTTATTTCTTTCACAAATGAACTGGTGAATCCTTATTCCATCTCTCCCTCAGTCCAGCTAGTTCTTCACCCCTGGGAGGGGAAATTGACCATCACCTCCCCCACAACCTCAGCGTTGATACACAACTTCGTCACCGCTATGATCTCGCTGAGTGATGGTATACCGAAGGGATTTTTCTTCTTTTCTTTTTTGTAAACCAAACTCTCGACCCTCTTGACCAAAAACAAGATTATTGCGGTGATGATGTCATGTTTTTCCTGTCCCTTTTCATTTTGCCGCCGCGAATAGTTTTGTGATTGTATTGGCAAATACTGTCATGCAGTTTCGATCCTTTAGGAAAACACTGCTTGCAAACGTCATCTTTGAAATATTTCGGAATCTTATTTCTTTTCCGAGGTTTTGATTTCAATATTTGCTTGAAACTTAAAGATTGGAAAACTCTTATCCAGTGAATCTATAGCTATTGTATGAAAATGATCTCCCCACACAATCAAAATCATTTACAGACATTCCAGCTATTCCTTTAACAAAGTACGACAAATAAAATAACGAGTAACCATGTAACAAGAAAGAAATGTTGGTTGTATATATTCTTTGATGACTTTGAATAGTGTCCTTTGATAATCCTTCATCGAAAGTTCATTGTTCTGCAATAAATATCATCATGGTTGGTGCAACTATCATGACTATTTATATTTAAGTTATCAGACTTGTCAGCACTTTGAATCGTCTCCCATTCGATATTGTTTAGTACATTGCGCCCAACTTTTTTTTAAATTTATTTCATGTGAACCTTCCCTTCATGTACTCCTTCTGAAGGTGTGAAATTGGTGATCATAGACCAGCAGTAGGACGTCTCAGCCACTTCCCACACCCACATTGCAACTTCTTAAAGCTTAGATTTCCCCCATTTCTGTCTTCTTAGACATTACGTCCTTATAATTATTTCGTGTTATTTTCTTAGTCTCCTTCCTTTGTCCATTTCATTTTTTAAATGTTGTTCATCTCTTCTTGTTGCTCATCTTTCTTCATGCTTCTTCCTGCGAGTGTTTTCTTCCCTCTTTCATTTGTCTCTTTACCGCTTGCTTGTTGGCTGTACCCCTTGACGTGTTCACTTACTTCAACCGTACACGCATTTCGTTATCGCACCTTAAATGACCTTTATTGTCCAGTTTCCACTTGTGTTGAATCGAAGTATAACGAACGCACCTATTTTTTTTAAAAGTTTTCTTTTCTTTATTTAAAGTGCAACACGGCTAGTAGACATAAGTTCCTTACAGTATTTGCCAAAAATATTACCTACAATAGTATCTGCCCTTTGTCACCTCTTCCCCGCACACCGTGATTGCAAGGTGTTAAAGTAGGTCACTAAGTGTGAACCCTTATAAATAGGTTCAATATAATATTCTCATTTCTGTAGTGTAGTCAGATTGCTCCTATATAATGGTATATAATGATTGATAATTCATTTCTCGACTGAATGCTTGATCAACTAACTGTTTAAATGTGTCTGACCTCATAAACACAAATAATGTTCACAATGTTCAGTTATGCCATTGTGTCACCTATACACCCAACAAAATTAGAAAAGAGCAAGTGGACACTATTTATAATCAAGAATTTTGATACAAACATGAATTAATGCTCTTTAAGATGATATGCAATTTAAATCATACCATTCACGCACGAATGAGCATATAACTATTAAACCTCGGAGAGGTCGCGAATTTAAACCGTGGTAAGGACTCACGTAGCAATCACTGGCAATATTTCTGAAGAAGGTTTAATCCCGAGTATTGCCACGGGACTTTTGCATGAAGTGCTGAACATTTTAATGCTCAACTCACATATTAGATAACTGAAAGCCTTGAAATGGACGTTTCTCATTGGTTAAAAGTAATGTTACGTAATTTCGATTTACGTTTGATCGTAATTTTTTCAACAAGAGGCCTAATTGTCAGCAAGCAAATAAGGCACTCTCTATTTTGCGAGTGGAAATAGATAATAGCTGCTGATTATTCCTCTCCAGCTGTTGTGTGGCTGTTGCTCTCTATCATTGGTTTAATCTAGCTGGCACTAAACTACAGTATGCTGTAATTAACCCTATCGGTAATGAATCATCTCGTAGGCTTATGCCCAGTTCATCGACATAAAATCAAAACAACGAGATCGGAGGCGAGTTTGAAATGCAAACGAGAGCAACCCCCAATTAACATGCCAGGCAACTCCACCAGTTTGCACTAATAAAGATATGATGGGCCGCTAAGATAATTGCTGCTAACTCGATCGTTATGTAAACCATCCGCTACATTCGATGATGAGTGTGTGTCCGTGAATGAATGCGTGCTATGCGTCTAGAGCAGGGAGGCAATGAGACCCAGAAGGGGGTGCCTGTCCCGCGTCTTGGAGAGGGTATACATCATTAAGCGCTGCAATGATCAAAATGATTGTTTGAAATAACATGACTGGTAATTAATTAAAGCATCTGAAGTGATTCGATGTCAATTCAGATTGACCTTTTACCCTCATTAGCGAGTGAAGGTGTGAGTAGCTTTCAAACCCTTAAATGAATTACGAAGCATGCAGGGGCGTCTATCGTCGAGGGCATTATTAGGAAGGGGCGGTTACCCCCCCCCCCCCTCCTCCACCCATCCATCATTCCTATACCAATAGAATCTTAGTATGCAGTGTATGCTTCAAAATTAATGTGCTCGCCTCCAACCCCCCCCCCCCCCTCCTCGTCCGCCTTGAAAATGGGCCAATCCTTCCGATATCATTGAAAGAATAAATTTTTCTGCATTGTCCCTGTTCTCGCATTTGATGTTATTTGTGTTTACTACATTCGTAATGTAATTTGAAGGAGAATCACTAAAAGGACAAAAGAAAGCAATGTTGTGTTGACATTTTAATGTTATCACCACACACTTACATCCATAATGTTGAAGGTGTTATGAGGAATAGAACAAATGAATAAACTTAGCAAAGTGTCACTACCTCTCCCCCCAGGAAATAACAGTCTTGAAAATATAAAATTATAGCATTTATCTTTTATGAGGAATGATAAACCGTTTTAACATTTTGTTCTTCTTTCAAATCGATGACCTAAATGTTGGCATACCCCATACAGCAT